TGTCCCTGAGAAAGACCAGACATTGAACCTAGTAGAAAGACTTTAAATCAACTGTCAAATACAATCAATGAACTGAAGGAAACCATGGATGAAGAACCAAAGAAAATCAGGGAAGGAATTAATGAACAAAAAGAGGGTATCAATACAGAGAAAGAAATTATAAAAAGGAAACAAATAGAAATCCTGATGCTGAAAAGCACAATAACTGAAATGAAAAGTTCACTAGAAGGGTTCAATAGGAGATCTGAACAAGGAAGAAAAAAAGTGAGAAAACTTGAAGACAGGATGATTGAAATTAACCACTCTGAAGGGTAGAGTAAAAAGAGAATGAAGAAAAGTGAACAGTGCCTAGTACCTGTGGAGTACCACAGAAAATACTAATATAAGCATTGTGAGAGTCTCAGAAGAAAAAAAAATAGAAATGGGCAGAAAGAATATCTGAAGAGATAATGGATGAAAACTTCCCAAATTTAATCAAAGTCATGAATCTATACATAAAGAAGCTCAATAATTTCCAAATAGGATAAACTCAGACATTTACAGTGAGACATTATAATCAAACTGCTGAAAGACGAAGAGACAGAATCTTGAAGCAACTCATCACATAAAAGGGATCCTCAATAAGAACAGCAGCCATTTCTTATCAGAAACCATGGAGCATAGGACCAGTATAATGACATATTTAAAATGCTGAAAGAAAAAAAAATGTCAGAGAATTCTATATCCAGCAAAAATATTTTTCATACATGAAGGAAAAATTAAGAGATTCCCATTTAAACAAAAGCTAAGAGAATTCATTGCTGATGGAAATGCTGAAAGAGTCTTTTGAGCTGAAATAAAAGGAGTAGAACGTAACTCAAAGCTATATGAAGAAATGAAGAATTTCAGTAAAGGTAAATACATAGGTATATATAAGTGCCTGCATTATTGTATTTTGAGTTTGTAACTCCTCTGTTTTTTCTATATGACTTAAAAAACAAATATATAAAATACTCATAAATCTATGTTAATAGGCATACAATGTATAAAGATATAATTTGTGACAACAACATGAAGGTAGTGGGAAAAGTGAGCTGTACAGGAGCCAAGTTTTGGTATGCTATTGAAGTAAAGCTGGTAGCAATTCAAACTGCACTATTATAAATTTAGGATGTTAACTGTAATCCTTACCATAACCACTAAGAAAATAAATAAAAGATACAGAGAAAAGGGAATTGAGGAGGTAATCAAAGAAAACTTTAAAAAAAGAAAATCAAACACAAAAAAGGAGAGATTGGAGGAATTGAGGAACATAAAATATATAACACATAGAGAAAACAAATAGCAAAATGGCAGAGAAAGTCCTTCTCTACCATTAATCACTTTAAATGTGAACAGATTTACAATTGTGATATATGCATATAACGGAATACTATTTGGCAATAAAAAGCAATGAAGTACTGATACATACTACAAATAGATAAACCTTGAAAACATTGTTAACTGAAAGAAGCCAGACACAAAAGATTACATAGTATATAATGTCACTTATACAAAATGTCCACAATAGGCACATGGATACAGAGAGAGCAGGCAGATTCCTGCCTGCTAGCCTGTAGGGCAGGGGAAAAGAGGTCACGTTTAGTGACCACTAAAACGTGAGAGCTTTCTTTTCAGAATGCTAAGAACATTCTACAATTAGACTCTGGTGATGGTTGCACAATTCTGAATATACCAAAAACCAGTGAATGGTACATTTTAAATGTGTAAATTGTTTGGAATGTAAATTATATTTCAATAAAGCTGTTTCTTTAAAAAGATATTTTTATATGTGGTGGATGGGCCGGCACTTTTGGCAGGGACTAAGAGCTAGTTAGGAATGCAGACTCTCAGCCTCACCCCAGGCATGCCAAAACAGAATCCACATGATTACTCTGCGCATTAAAAGTTAGCATACATCGCCCTAAGGCAACTCCATGTCACAGTGAAAAAACTGTGGCCTGCAAATAGTAAGAGGCTTGCCTGAGCTCACATGGTCCATTCATTCATAAGCAGACACATTTTACTCTTTGAATCACAGTTGTTTGCAAGATGGTTTCTCCTAGGAGAAAGGGCACAAACTGTGTCTTTTTTACTTCCGAGCCCTGAAGCCTGGTATGGTGCTCTATACATGGTACTCAAATATTTACTGAATGGCTAAAATGACTTCTAAGACAGACTGATTTCCAAAGAGAGGAATTACATTTTGCCTAAATTAGTTTCATCACCAAAATAACCAAATTTAAAATATCACTACATGCTTATATTCTAACAAATGTTTGAAAAGATTCCTTTTTGAAAAAACATAGTAAACCAAATCAGAATCTGAGTTTTGCCAGAATATCAAGTTTTTCACTGAGTAAATGGAAAATATATTTTGTAACTCGGGAGGTTAGAAAGCTCTAACACAGAAAGATAGCTCCACTAATGGAGCTACTTAACACAGAGGAAGATGCTTGCTAGTGGTTCTTAACAAGAGTGGGCACAAATGTGAGCCTTAAAGAAGGGAAAAGAATGCCTAAGTGAGGTTTCAGAGAGACTGTCTCTAACTTCTTCAGTTGGTAGGTAGCCAAAGTAGATCTGTGCTTGTTCAACCACACCGATCATTATCTTTGGTTTTTACTCTCTGAGAACTAAGGAACAGGAAGGAACAACCCTAAAGACACCAAAAACTACTCACTGAGGCAACTACTATCCTTTAACAAAGTACATGGATCGTGAGGTAAAAAGGCTCACTCTGTAATGCCAACTGGCTTGTTCTAAGTTTGGACTTCTGAGCCTGGCCCCAGTAGACCTTGACTTCCAGTGGAGATAATCTTTCTGCCCAGATTTAAATGGTCTGATAATCTAGCATCATAAAAATGGCTAATTCTTGGCTCTCACCAAATAAGTGGTAGTTCTCTAAAGGAAGTTTGATACATTTAGAAAATTACTATATCAAAATTCGGTTAAAAAAAAAAGATGGTGCTTGTACTCAATGTCTACATCTTGAAGAGATTCACAGAATGACATGGACTAACCCTAAGCACATGAGCCACAAAAGAAAGTGTCAATGGGATTAATCATTTAGAACTCCAAGTGAAAGAAAATCTTGCTAGATTTCAGGCAACGTTTTGGGCTTAGTTAGAAAGTTATAGCTGAGAGAGGTAAAATATTTTCAACAGACAAAAGAAATTCTCTCTTCCTCTGACTCTTACATTGTTTTCTCTTTCAAAGAATTCTTGTTCAAACATTGCTCTAGACTTTACCTGGAACAATATGGAAAATATTCTGTGTTTCCAAAAAGGCAAAATGTACTGTTATGCAGCTACACAGTCTATAAGACTGCTTCACCTAAAGTCACTGCCTGACTATATACTGGCTGCCACCATTAGCTGGCCAATGGTGCCTGTTCTCAAATACTATTAAAGTGAAAATAAAAATCCTCAAGAAAAAAACTGGAAAACATGTCCATAGCTCAAGTCCTCTAAGTTTTTACTATCTCAGCTGCACTAGTGACTCTAAACTAGTAAGGTCACTGCCACCAACACATATTGGCTCACTCCTTGGCTATGAAAAACTAACTCAGGCAAGAAAACAAAATAAAGAATTCCTTAAGTTGTCAATATTAATAGTCTTTAAAAAGTGTTTACAAATGACAGTCTCAGGCTGCTATGGACTGAATTGTGTCCCCCTAAAATTCATGTTGAAGCCCTAATCTCCAATATGATGGTAATCAGAGATGGGGCCTTGGGAAGCCATTAAGGTTAGATAAGGTCATGTGGGTGAGGCCTTTATAATGAGATTACTGGCTTCATAAGAAGAGGAAGAGAGATCACTCTCTCTGCTATATGAGACACAGGAAGAAGGCTGCAAGCTAAGAGAGCCCTCACCAGAAACCAAACTCTGCAGATCCTGACTGTGGACTTCCCAGGCCCCAGAACTGTAAGACATAAATGTCTGTTGTTTAAGCCACTCAGTCTATGCTATTTTATTATAGCAGCCGGAGCTGACTTAAGACACAGTCTATGAACATATAATAACAGAAAAAAGTTCTACAGCAGTCAAGTTACTGAACGTGATGAAAGGATACTACTGAAGGCCCAGACAAGATTTACAGCCAAAATCTGAACCACTGAAATTTATGACAGGAACCCTAGAGTTGCAGCATGACAATGTTAAAATGGCAACCTTGGCCTTGGGCCAAATCCACAAGAAGAGAACTATACCGCAGAAGTCCAGGGCCTTGTTTTTTCTAAAGTGAAATCCAAATGCTTTGTTTGTGAGAAATTAATAATATCCCAAGGCTAACTGAGGAATTTTCTGTTTCCCTTACGTCCTAATCAAGAGTATATTTTAGGCAGGTACATCAAATGACCAGCTCGCCTTACAAAATCATCCAGTACTCCAATAAGCCAATTTAATTCTAAAAAGCTAGCAGCTTCTGTGTCCAGAAGAGAAATCAAGCTTATCAGCCTTATTATGTCTCAAGTCAGTATATTTAAATCTAGAGGCAGCATGAAATCTTTTAGGAAAGTTACCTCAATCTACTGTCAAAGTAGTTGCACAAGCTTGCTCAAGGTACCAGGTAGCAGGTAAAACGAATAGGATAGGAAAGTGATAGAGAAATCAAAGATGTTCAACTATACATGTAAAATTGGATTAACTAGAACAAAATCAACCTAATTACAGCACTGCAGAATAAAACAACCTAATTAAGTGTCTGAAAAGTTAACAAGTAGGGGGAAAACAAGAACTAAATAAAATACTTCACAAAGCATATGCTTCTAATTTTTATAGCATCAAGCTTTAAAAGGTCAAAAATTTCCTTACTGAACTCAGAGTAAATCTTCAATATATATTTGCTGAGTGAATAAAATATACACTAGTCCAATACTCTGACAAATTTTTTCCTATTAGCACGTGAACTTTGAGAAAATTAATTCTACCTGGTCTGCAGTATTTTGTTATAGTATCCAAACAGATTAAGACACCAAACTTACCTCAAACAAGCGTAAGTCAGCAGGAACTCTGTCCCCAACAGAAAGGCAAACTGTATCACCTGGAACCAAGTCTCGTGCAAGCGTATGTTCCAATTTTCCTTCACGCACACTGTAACACGAAACAGAAACAACCACGGCTGAGAAAAGAAAGCCATGCCACTTATTTAACAAAATTCTTTCCAGTGGGGTTGCCTGAGGGAAAATATATTGCATTCTTACACTTCTTTTTTTTTTTTTTAATGATAATTGTAATAATAGATTTTACTTTTTCCTTTTTCTCCTCAAAGCCCCCCGGTACATAGTTGTGTATTCTTCGTTGTGGGTTCTTCTAGTTGTGGCATGTGGGACGCTGCCTCAGCGTGGCCTGATGAGCAGTGCCATGTCCGCACCCAGGATTCGAACTAACGAAACACTGGGCCGCCTGCAGCGGAGCGCGCGAACTCAACCACTCGGCCACGGGGCCAGCCCCTGCATTCTTACACTTCTAAGGAGATAAGTCAAATATAAGAATGAAGAAAAGGATTATTTTTGTGGTCTTGGTAACTAAGAAGCTCAGATGACAAAACAGCGTTGGAAAAACTGACCAGTTGTTCAGAGGTAAAATGTGAAGACTTGAAGCACCGTTTTGAATCATCTGCGTCTGTGCGACTGTGCAACACTGCACCGACAACAGAGCCTGGCACAGTCATACACAAAACAATTTCTCTTGAGTAAATCCACATCTCAAGAATCTCAAAATCAGGGGCCGGCTCCGTGGCCGAGTGGTTAAGTTCACAAGCTCCACTGCGGCGGCCCAGGGTTCGGATCCTGGGCGCGGACATGGCACCCCTCGTCAGGCCACGTTGAGGTGGCGTCCCACATGCCACAACTAGAAGGACCTGCAACTAAGATACACAACTATGTACAGTGGGGGTTTGGGAAATAAAGCAGAAAAAAAAAAAAAAAAGATTGGCAACAGTTGTTAGCCTAGGTGCTAATCTTAAAAAAGAAATAAAAAACAAAAAAGAATCTCAAAATCAGAACTTTAAACAGTACAACTTACCACACTAAATAGAGTATTAATTTTTCATGTCAGATTAATGGTTTCTACCTTATGTTTAGACAAATCTGGGGCCACAATGTATTTTGTACTAGTCATATTCATTTCTGTTTTTAAGAGTAGAAATTCGTATCAGAAACAAGGATCATACCAATGGCATTCTGGTGGCATAAGTTTACTCAGTTCTTCAAGAGATTTTTCTGAACGATATTCCTATTTAAAAAGAAAAGGCACAAATATAAAGAAATGCAAATACATATGCTCCTATAAATATATTCCGTGTTAGAGTTAAATATTGATCTCAATCATTATTTAAAAATTTCCCCCAATTCTTACCTTTTCCTTTACTTACACTTAGATTTCTATACATAAAAGCTTGTCCCTTATTAAATAATGTTAAATTATAGTGACCAAACAATTTGATAATTAAATATTCCCAATTTCACATTTTAATATTCAATGTGCAACCTAAGGTCACATTATTTATAATAAAATGAAGAAAATTGATTCGTGTGTCCAAAGGGTACATAATTTTCAGTCATTAAAAGTAAAGATCAGGGGCCAGCCCAGTGACACAGTGGTTAAGTTCGCACACTCCACTTCGGCAGCCTGGGTTTTGCCAGTTCAGATCCCAGGCATGGAACCTATGTACCACTTATCAAGCCCTGCTGTGGCAGGCATCCCACATATAAAAATAGAGGAAGATGAGCACGATTGTTAGGTCAGGGCCAACCTTCCCCAGGAAAAAAAAAAAAGAGGAGGATTGGCAGGGGGTGTTAGCTCACAGCTAATCTTTCTAAAAAAAAGAAAAATAAGATAATTTTCACTTAGTGTTTAATGATCAAAGAAGTCAAAGACAATTAATAGCAGGCAACATTTGCTTTGAGGACTTAAGCCCATGCTAAATGCAAAGGTTTTATGGCGTAAGTTTGCTTGGAAAGAACAGACATTAAACAGAGAGTTTACTAACACAGAGATGTGGTTGGCCTTACCTTGATGGACACCTTTCCCATCACCCTGAACTACCCAAAAAGGGAAATTCTAAAGAGCCCTAACTCTGTCATGCTCCAGCCTTCTTCCATCCATATAATCATAGCTAAGGGTCAGAGACAGCTTCACTCACTATTTAGTCCATGTCTCCATGGGGCAGTTTTGCTTCACGAAACATGACCTATTTTTGTCTCATGTCTGCACTAAAATCTTTTGATCTAAGGTTAAAAAGGGAAAAGAGGGAGTAGTGGAAGTGTAAGTTGGAAAGTGTTTTAAAATGACTGCAGTGCTAATACTAATCAAAATTTCACACTCACAATCTTTTTCAGACAAAATGCAAAGCCATTTAAGAATAACTTAGAACTAAATCAGTCTTTACTTAAGCGAGAGGAACAAATGTGAGAGTAAGGTAAATCTATAAATAGAAAAATTACAAGACATCCCTTCCCCAAACATACCAAGGACATTAAGGAATTCGGAAGTTTTGGTTAGAAAACATTCACCAAACCTAGATGCTAGTAATAAATGACACAGAAGCTGCCCAATCTTTACCTCCCTCTCCAGACTTCTTAGCCTTTACTTCCTACAACTACAAAGGTGCTTCTACATCAAAATGAGCATTTAACACACCACCAAAAACCTGACAGCATCACTAATGAACGCCTAAAAGTTATGTTTTAAATTTACTGTAAGGTGGTATCAATATATGACTATCTAGAACAATTAGCTATTTTCATGTCTGCGAAGGTACATAATTGGATGACAAATGGACACTAGAATGAGATAGGGAAAATAAAGGCACATAGAAATATGAAAAGAATATAAAAAGCACTCTTCTCCTAAAACACAGGTAAAAACATAAATACTAAATAATGATAAAGCACTAAAAATTTCTGATAGATTTTTTGTAGAGTTTTTTGACAAAGCATTATGGTAAGTTCAACTGATAGTAAATAGGATCTTTTTTACAAGTTTTTAATTGCAGTTTATAGACTGTTTTGTTGGTTTCATAGGCACACTTGGGGAAAAGGCTCACCTCTGTACAAGAAACCAGACCTAGCAATCTGAAACTGGGCTTTTCACAAATGTTTTGATTCTTTCTTGAGTTTTCCATCAAATGAACCTCTTACAAAGATATTTAGCAGATGGTTTCAGCCACTGCATGTAAAGTGTTTAACATACTGTCTTTGTGTAAAATTCCACATTGATTATGTTAAAATTGCAATTTTGTGGGTTTTTTTGAGGGAAGGGGCTCCCTATTTACCAAAAAACAAGCTACTAAGGTGTTCCATACACAGTGATAATATTGCAGGAATCCTTCTGAAGAAAGTTACTCCACACATCTGTCGCATTATTAAAGATGCAAGAGGGTTCTGGTTCCTGGTCCAGTGGGTCATACCACTCAAATGGCTGAATGAATGGCTGCCTTGAATGATGCCCAGCCTGGAATGACCTCTGCTAGACTAACCAGCTCTGCCTCCCCTAGGGTAATTTTTATCAGTTCTAAGCAAGAGGATTCCCTAGAAATAGGATCCCTGACAGTCTACTGATGGAGCTCACAAACTTGCTGCAGAAGTCTGATTCCAACCAGCTTTTCTACACTGGCTTACTATAAAACTAACAACTTACTAAGTTAGTGATTACCATAGGAGGCCTGGATAATAACAGGAAATACCCAAAGAATAAATCATAGCTATGTAAATAACTACACTAACTTAAAATACAGTCTTAAGGTTCAAAACAACATGAATTTTAGGATCACGTGACATATTAAATTTTTCCCTAAAACTAGAATAATCTTTCTACACTCTTATTAATCATGCTTTAAAACTTTTAACTAATAAAATGAGACCTGCCACATTGTTCTAAAATCCTAACATTATCTCGACATTATTCACATTAATTTCTTTTTTTAAAGATTTTATTTTTTTCCTTTTTTTCCCCAAAGCCCCCCGGTACATAGCTGTATATTCTTCGTTGTGGGTCCCTCTAGTTGTCGCATGCAGGATGCCGCCTCAGTGTGGTCTGACGAGCAGTGCCATGTCCACACCCAGGATTCGAACCAACGAAACACTGGGCCGCCTGCAGCGGAGTGCGCGAACTTAACCACTCGGCCACGGGGCCAGCCCCTCACATTAATTTTTAAAAGAGGTTCCTTTTCATATGTTTTATTTATTATTTCAATGTTTTTGCTGAACAGGGAGCTTGATCCAGATCACAACATGCCTTCTGTGAAGAATGAGAAATTTAAACCCTGGCCCAATATTTTTATGGTGATGGATGGCAACTAAACTTTTAGTGGTGAACACTATGGAGTCTATACAGAAGTTCAAATATAATGATGTACACCTGAAATTTACATAATGTTATAAATCAATGTTACCTCAATAAAAAACAAAAAACCCTACCCAACTTTTTAATTGCAAAAATTTTTAAACTATGGCTGGATTTTATTTCTATTACATGTACTATGCTGTTCATTTCCATCTGCTTCGATTATCTTTAACACCATCAAATAAAAAACTAGATTTTCTTCACATCACTACCTAAATCAGTCAAGTGAGTTCCACAGACTTCCAATAGCGCTGTCTTTCTGAAATTATTTCGAAAACAAAGAATAAATTGTTGACTGACATTACCATCCCCCAATAACTATAGATTTTGCCATAAACCACCTTAATTTTTTTAAGCAATTAACTACAATACTATTAATATGTTGGCAAAACAGGCTCCCTACTCACCTGGACAAAGGCAACTGTAACGACGATAAGTATTGCCTACACAAAACAAAGAAACAACCTTTAAATCAGACATGGTAACTTCAGAAATAACTGTTAATCGTGTTTTATTTTTCTGACTCTATCTGCAGTCCCAAGATACCAGGCACTAAGCATTGAGATGAGCTGGGGTAAAAATCACAACTTTGCCTTGAGGCCTGTTGGGGAAGAAAGCTACAGCTGACAGTGGCTTGCCTCCCCTGGGACAGCTTCTCAACCTTTATCTCAGGATCCCTTTATGTACTTACAACCTGAAGACCAGCTTTTGTTTATGTGGGTTCTATCTACCAATTTCATCACATTAAATCCTTTTTCAATTACTCAGTTTTAATTTCTACTTTACTAATTCATCTAAAACAATAATAAACCCTTACATGTTAATACAGCATTTTTTATGAAAAACATATCCCCCCCAAAAAAACTGTGAGCAAAGTGGTAGTGTTTTCAATTTTTCTATCTTTAATGTCTGCCTTCAGAGAAAGCTGGATTCGCATATCTGTTTCTGCATTCAACCCATTGCAATATGTTGATTATGGCGAAGTATATGAAGAAAATCCAGCCTCATACAGATATTGCTGGAAAAGGGAAGAGTACTTTAAAAGCTTTTTCAGATGATTGTGGATCTTCTTTTTAGCTGTTACATCCAAATTAGACAAGTGTTAGTTACTTAAAAGCAATTTGCAAGGTAGACTCTAAAATTCTATCAATGAACTTCTCATAATCTGTTATATTAAAATCCACTGAACTATCTTGCACTTTGAATAGATCTTATAATCACTAAAAATTTTGTAACATAACACTGACCATTTAGAAAATATTGATTCACTTGGTTATTCAAATCTTTCAAATGTTGATACATTTCCTAATAGAAAAAATCACGTTCATTAAAATCACTACTGATCTCATTAGAATAAAGTCTTAAATACTGGTAAAATATCCAGCACATAGTAATGCATAAAAATTGTGCAAAATTATAATTATCACATGAAAGCTTGAATTTTATCTTTGGCAACAAAATCTGTCAGTTGCTTTTCTTGGAGTGATAGGCTCATTTCACACACTTTCAAAAAAGCAGCATGCCAGTTATCTAGGTCTTAACTGTAGTTCGTCAGTCGCTCTTTCAAGTAAAAGGCTGGCTCAGCTCACCACAACTGCCTTTCCTTCAAAAACCATCATACTTCAACATACAAAAGTCCTTTACGCATACTTCCTATTTCATTACGCAGAATATTAAAAAGATATGCACTCAAGGGTCAAAACTCGATAAAATTAATTTTCACTGTTTTATCAAAAATATTCCTAAGACAAATCATGAAAGAAAACAATGATTACCAGTACAGTTTGTGCCTTTATTTTGATTTGAGCCAAGGCTCTAACAGTTTTACCCGCCACTGCTTTTGTGCCATTTATGCAAATGTCTATAGCAAAAAGACAAATAATATTCTAGTATTAAGAAAACAGTTTTGACCTCGTAGCTCCCTGAAAGGGTCTCAGAGACTCCTGGGAGTCTGAAGCAAGAGTTCGAGAATTGCAGCTCTACATTCATATCTACTGTGTTCTTACGCATAACACACTTGCTTTAATCAATGCTTGTACTTGTTATAAATTTTTATTCTACAGTGAAAGAGGGGGCAAGAAAAAAAAGGAGGAAACTTTCAATGAAAGCTAGAATAACCTAGCTGGAAAAAATCAAAATCTCACACAGTAAGTACAGTGTGCTCTGTTAAATAGTATCTTTAAGTTCACAAATGTCAGGCTTTAGTTCACAATTAGTCAAAGCATATTCTCAACTGAAAGCAAAATAAATTGGAAATTTATTATAAAGTATTTCACATCTGAGAAATTACCAGATTGTTAAGCAATTCTCAAGCATGCCAATCACAGAAACTTGAACATTATTTGAGATTATTGCAACTAAAGCAGAATTTGGACAGCAAAAAAACCTGAACAAACATTAAGACATTTTTCAATTCATTTCTCAATTCATTTTTCAAAATAAAAGCCAATCCTAATTTATATGATTAACCAACAATTTAAAAATATTTCTATTTTGTTTTCTTACCACAGTGATACTGACGGCATCATCAAACTGATGCATTAACACACTGATGACTGCAGAAGCCAGAAGCAGCATAATAAGGGGATTTTTAAACTGAAAGTGAAAACAAACAACAATTTAACAGTTTTGTATGAATGACAGTTGTGTTCCATTGCAGCAAAAGCTAAAAAAAATAAACTACTGGGGCATGATTAGAAAATTACAAGTGTCTACATTTGGTTTATCTTATGCATCTTTTCAATTAACAAAAATAAGTATTTACACTTAACTGCATTTAAAAGTCACCACTTCATAAGAGTTCCTTTCCAGAAAAAAATATCAATACTTAAAACTAAGAATTTACAAATTCCTTATAGTGCACATATATTTTTAGTATATTAGTTTCATAAATATAGCTGTTTTGAATTTCTATTGAGGCTAGAATAAGTGGAAAATGATTTTTAAGCTAGAGATTTAGGTTAAAAACTGGGCAGAAAACCTAGAGTATGAGATTCAAACATTCCTCAACATTTCTATACTAAGTAAATTAGTGCAGATTACAATTCTGGGGTTCACCCACACAGCAGAAACAACCCCCCAGGACAGCTAAGAGCAGGCAGTAAGATCCTCTCCACAGAAGAAGCTGAAGATTTTCCCAAGGCTGGTTTTCCTGATATCTATCTAGCAGAGGCAACAGTATCCAAAGAAACTAGACCACAGCACCAACCCCATCAGGCAACACTTAAATGACCAAGTATCAGAGGCACCCCAAGTTCTTTCAGTTGGACACCCTATTCCTTAAACATCAGAGCTCTCTTGCCAGAATCTCTTCCTCTGATGAAGTGATGCCAATCACTGTCCAAGTTGAAAGTAACTAGGCTACAAAGAATCCATGCCAGTAGAGAGCCCCAGCCCCTGGGTACCAGAGGTCTGAGGTTAGATGCCACCACCTCCCACTCCCTTTAAGGCTCCACTCTCTGGCACAGTGATTCCAACCCTGCTTCATATAGGAATCACGTGAAGAACTTTCACTTCTAACAATGCCCAGGTTCACATGAGACCAATTAAATCAGAGTCTCTGGGCATAGGGCCCAGGCTTTGGCACTTTTAAAACACCCTACAAGTGATTCTAGTGCAGAGAGGATTGAAAAATCATTGCTCTAGCAAAATAAAACTACAGCTGCAACGTGGTTCAGGGCTGACAAACCACACACTTGACTGAGTCAGAGTACTTGGGTTTGAATTCAGCTCCTGCCACTCGAGTGGCCTTAATATTTTTAATTCCTGGGGGTTCTTCACCTAGTAAAATAGTACCTTATGCCAAAGACTGTGGTGAGGATTAATTAAGAACGTATATTAAAACACTGTGTAAACCATAAAACCCTCTTCCAAAGATATTAGCTGTTATCATCACCCTTTGAGGGCAAGGCCCATGGTCTTTTTTATTTTCCCCTAAAAAAGCTGTGCCATGGTACTAAGATGGCAGGCTCCAGACAAATGTTTACCTAACAACAAATTCGGTGTACTCCATGGAGGAGGAAAGAGTTGCCCAGTGCTTTATGATTAACAATTGATATTTACTGTTGCTTGTTGCTTGTGCTTAACTACATTACAGGCACTGCTTCATTTCATTCTCACAGCAATCCCACGATGCAGGTACTCTGGCTTTGAAACAGGATCAAGAAAGTAAAATATGAAATCATACTGCCTAGTGATAAGTCAAATCATTTAGTTTATAAATCCAGAGTAAACTTCCCAAAGTTTTAGGTAATGTGGAAACGTGGTAAATGTAAGAATACAAATACACATATAAAAAATATTCCAGGGCTGGCCCGGTGGCCTAGTGGTTAAGTTGGCACACTCCGCTTCAGTGGCCCGGGATTCACAGGTTCGGATCACAGGCACAGACCCGCACACTGCTCATCAAGCCACACTGTGGCAGCATCCCACATACCAAACAGAAAGGAAGATAGGCACAGATGTTAGCTCAGGGACAATTTTCCTCAGCAAAAAGAGGACTATTGGCAATGGATGTTAGCTTAGGGCCAATCTTCTTCACTAAAGGTTGGGTTCACAAGCTCCGCTTCAGTGGCCCAGGGTTCACGGGTTCAGATTCTGGGCACGGAACTACACACTGCTCATCAAGCCATGCTGTGGCTGCATCCCACATATAAAATAGAGGAAGACTGGCACAGATGTTAGCTCAGGAACAATCTTCCTCAAGCAAAAGGAGGAAGATTGGCAACAGATGCTAGCTCAGGGCCAATCTTCCTCAAACACACACAAAAAAGCAAAAATCTATCATCTATCAATAGCTTACTATCTCCTAAGATTATTATCCCTATTTTATAAATAAGGCTCAGAGGATAATAAAGATCATACAGCTAGTAAGAACAAAGGTGGAATTTGTAACCAGGCAGTCTGGATTCAAATTACCTAACTTACTTTTCCTAATTTTCTAAGCTGACCATATTACTTTAAAAAATACTAGCATTCCTATGACAAAAAAGTATTAAGTTAGACATCTGAAAAGGAAACTGTTCATCCTTTCATCCACATGGAGGAGGAGTATCACCTCCATGTGGTATGTCCATTAGCCTTTAATATCTGCAAACTAAAAACTATAGAAATTCCAACCTAACAGTAAACCCTAGCAAATGGAAAAATTTGGGTAAAAAAAATTCAAAAAAATTATTTTTTCTTCCATAAATAACTTCATAAAAGTGAACTACACTAACAAAAATACACGTAAATTATACAACAGAGGAGAAAAAAACAATAATCCCACCTGAGAAATATACTTCTTCCACAGCGGCTCATCTTCACTGATATCAAACTCATTCCAGCCATGGAAGGCTCGCCTATGACTGACTTCACATTTGTTCAGACCATTCTGAAGATCAGCCTATTAGATTTACATATAAAAGTTACTGAAAATGTTAGCAGAGAACAAAAGAAAAACACAAAAGCGTAATACTGTATGATCACATTTACTGAAACTTCTACAACAGTCAAAACCTATCTATGGTGACAGAAAATTTATCAGTGGTTGACTGGAGCCAGACGCGATCCACAGGAGGGATTAACTGCACAGGGACATGGGGGTGCTTGCTCGAGTGAGGAAGATGTTCTATCTTAATGGTGATGGTAGTCACCTCTGTTAAAATGCAAACCGTACACTTACTATGGGTACTTGTGTTTTATGATATTATACATCAAAAAATTGTTTTTTAATGGAAGAAACAAGGTAGAGTTTAATAAACAAACAATTTATGGTTTTCTCTGGGGAAAGAGAAATAACACAAACCAGCCACACGATTTACAGAAAGCAACATATCAGTACATTTTAATTAGTTTTCTTTGTTTTCATTGTTGTTTTGCTGTTTTCTAAAATTACTTTCTCCAAAAAGAACACTCAATGGGCCATAACCACCTTCCTTGTTCTCTGAGCCTATCAAAACCCAGAGGTTGGTATTACCTTTTGCTCTTGGACTGTATCATTATTTCAGGTAGAAAATTTGTGGTTCCTAAATTATTCAAAATAATGAAGTTAAGATGAACTGGTTCTTGGGACATTTTATATATATATATATATATTTTTTAAAGATTTTATTTTTTCCTTTTTCTCCCCAAAGCCCCCCGGTACATAGTTGTGTATTCTTCGTTGTGGGTTCCTCTAGTGGCATGTGGGACGCTGCCTCAGCGTGGTCTGACGAGCAGTGCCATGTCCGCGCCCAGGATTCGAACCGACGAAACACTGGGCCGCCTGCAGTGGAGCGCACGAACTTAACCACTCGGCCACAGGGCCAGCCCCAGGACATTTTATATTTTATGAACCCCACCTACATTCTTCAGTCACTGTCTCATGATTTATTATTATGACTATTATTAAAGAATGAAGCTACCTGCATCCCTAAAATAATTGGTTTCTCTGGCCAAAAGCTTTAATAATAGAGTTCAATATTGGAGTCTTACAACACTTAAAGATATTTAAAATAAGTGGTTTTAAAACAGAGTATAAATACAACAACCAAAAACACCTCAAAAAAAGGATAGCCAATGTTTTTAATGCCATCATCAAAATGAATCCTGTAGAAGAAAATAAGGAATATTCTTTTCTTGTTTCATTAGATTGTGTTTTTTAAAACTAGGAAGAGATTAAATTATATAAGCAAAGTTTATTTTCAGGTCTAAACGTGTACTTAGCTTTTACTTTACTTCAGAAAACATAAAAAGATAAATTCCTAACTCTATTTACATTAATAATTAAATTGATTATTTTCCCAATGCAACTAATCCTTACACAGCACTAACAGTGCCTGGCAATGCTAATGAGCTAGAGCTGCACTGTCCAATCACGTAACCACCAGCCACATGTAGCTATTTAAATTTCAATGAAAGTTAAATAAAATTAAATAAAATTAAATTCAGTTCCTCCCCTAAACTATCCACATTTCAAGTACTCAATAGTCATATTTAAATAGTGGCTACTATAGTGGACAGCAGAACAGAGTATTTCTGTCATCCAGAAAATGCTATTATTGCACAGCAGTTATCTAAAGAGTCGTTATAACTAACTGATTTTACTATCTATTCCCTCCCTCCCCCGCCAAGCACTTACTTGGAGAATGCCTGCAACTTCGCTGACTGGTAATTCACTTGCTTTTTTTGATGTCAATACAGGAATCATTGTCTCATTTTCACCATTAGGAATTTTTTGAAAACGTGCAACCTAGGAAATAAAACCAAAGGAAAAATATTTGAATATACTGAACAATTCTAATGCAGTCTAGAGTAAACGAAAACCCAAATGTTTACAGCAACTTTTTTCCCATAGTTAAAACACAAATATTTTCAGACTAATAATGAGTATCTAGTCCTAATAAGATAATTTTATACTAACCATGTGCTATTTTTCCAGAAAGCACATTTCAAAATTTAAGCCACCAGTGCCAGCTAGAACACAAAATAATTTTCACATTAAATTAAAAAGATGCTATTTCTACACCAATGTAACAAGTAAAAAGTAAAACAGATGCCCTGTCTAGCAGATCCTGATGATTACATGTAGTCATAATCCTCTAAACTCATTATGTTTAACAGGAAGGACAAGGAACAGCTAAGCTTTCTCCATTTTAACTACTCCTGTCAGTCAGCTCATTTCTTAACTATCCAGAAAGGACACCTGGCTACTCTTCTGAAGCACGATGACAGCCAAGTCAGGCTCAAAGACCTATCCCCAAAATAGGGGAAAAACGAAAAGCAAGAGACCAGACAAGCAGAGGATGCACAGGTTAGTGAACGGGCTGTGAACAAGCAGAGTAAAGTCACCGAGATGGTGGCAACCATGGTATCTACTTGATGCAGCTTCATAAGCAAGTATCTATAGAAAAATGTTTAACACACTTCTAGAAATAAATCCACAACCCAGACTTGTCTTGGGTCCTAAACTGAGATTCTTTACAGACAAAAGGTTTTGAGTAAGTAGGAGAAGGGGAGACAAAAGCTCCCCACTGAAACTTTAGGGAAGAAAATACTTCAGTTGCCACACATCCACCGATTAAAATAATACTAAAACCGAAGTGATCATCTTACTGCCAAAATACAAGTCTTTAAGCTTTTAGGGAAAATGTTTTCAACCTTGGATAATGAACATTTTTAGGATAAAACATTTCCCTAAAAATTTTTTTAAGGCAACACTTCAAGACAACAAATGAGATCAAAGAATAATTTAAGTTTCTATTATTATTATTAAAGTGCCATTATAGAGGCCTGTATCCATAAAAAAAAATTTTTGCACTTACTGCAAAAAATGGTAAATAGCTGTGGAAAAAAAGTATTTCCACAGTGTGACCAAGTTCTGGAACAATCAAATACATGTTTTCTAATCTCATTTATTAAAAAGGCATTGTTGAATGTTTAAGTACCTTAAGAGCGAAGTATTTTTCTACTCGGAATGAGAAGATATTAGTGAATAAAAATTCCAAGCAAATTAGAGACAGATTAACTTTCTTTCATGCAAAACAAAGTCGTGAAATTATTTTACAGCATAATATTTTTACATAACTAAGAATTTAAAGCCTTAGAAAAAGAACTGGAAATTTCATAAAAGTTGTACACGTTTTAGAGCCACTGAATGCCCTCATTTCAAACCTATGAAACGAAGTAGTACAGAGGAAAGATTTTATTGAACCATGGAGAGAATTTCCCCCAAAATGACCTGACTCTTAAAGCAATGAGAACTAAACTAATTTGACATGGTTATTTTATCTCGTGAGATAATAAAGCAAAATTAAGGAGGATCAAATATGTTTACATTGCGTGCAATGACAACGAGATTAAGAAAATCTTTTATTTCTAATATTCCTGTACTTCAGTTTCTTCATACATAAAATGGGGATATACAGCGCCTGAAGTTGTAGAATGATTACATTCACTAATATGGCATTTGACCCACCAGTCATAAGTGTTCAAATAGCTATTTCTCTCCCAAAACTATTTAATATTTATATGTACATATTCAGTGGTACAATGAGCTCAAAACAGAGCTAAATTACTAATCAAGGTTAGTAAAGCTACATTTGCAATAACTTTTCTATTAAAACATATTTTTCTATCATTAATAAATTGGAAATTGTAATCTCTAATACCCAATATGCAATACAAGAGCCTTACTCATAAAAGCTTTCTAAAGTAATTCCTTGGTAGTTGGTACATGGATAGGGTCTAATGTTGGAACAAACTTTACATAAAGTCCCTGAGAAACATTCCATGGGCCCAAAAGAGGTGAAAAATCTCAACAGAAGGAAGTGAGATTATTTCATTTAATAAAGGATAAGACACTGAAGGGGCTTGATAATAGCTCTCTAAATATATGAAGGGGAGCCGTGTGAAAGAGGGCAACACCAAAGCAAAGGAGGTGTTTACAGCGGACCAACTTACGGAGTTAGAATGAAGAGGGCTGGATGTGTTCTGGCAGAGGCCAGATGGCCATCTGATAAGGACTGATTTCACTGAAGGGATTTGTACAATAGAGGGAGGCTACAGCTCAATAAATTCTTGGTCAAAGGCAGCGAGGGGTGTCAACTCATTTATGCTAAACAGATCCTACGTTAACTTAAAATTATGGAATTATTGAATTTTAATCCTGTTTTCTTTTTAATGTTATAGAGGTTTAGCAGCTCAAATGGGTCATTAATTATATGGCTCATAAGAGTATTTCAATTTGTTCATTCATTTACTCTTTCGACACACACTGCATTTATTGAGAACCTGACTCTGTGCTAGGCCCTTAGGATTTAACAATGAGCAAAAACAGCCTGGAGTGGGGAGTGGAGAGAGACATTATCAAAGAATTGCGCAAATAAATGGAAAACTGCAAACGATAACTACTATGAAGGAGAAGTCCACGGGCTGAGAGCTCATAATCAGAGGTTATAACCAGGACAGGAAAGTTTTGATGAGGAAGTGATGTTTGTAGAAGTGAAAGACAAGAAGCTAGCCTAAGGGAAGGGATGGAAGAACAGAGGGAACAGAATGTGCAAAGTCCCCAAGGAAGGTGGGGAGCATGGCAAGAATGAAGTATTCAAAGGCCTGCATTTACTCCCTTACTCATTTAGTCCTTCGAGACATAATCAATGCCAGACACTGTTCTTGGTACTGGGGACATAAAGTGACCAAACAGGTAAGAACTCTAGCCTCATGGAGCCACATATCAATAAGGAGGAAAAGATTACAAATAATGCGTTATACAATAAACAGTCTAGAAAACAATTAAGAAAAAAAGGATAAGTAGGGGAGGAGTTGATCATTTTATATAGGGGGGACAGGGAGGACCCCTCCAGTAAGGTGACATTTGGTAACATAAGGTAACACAGAGACCTGAAAGAAGCAAAGGAACTAGCTATTAGACATCTAGGTAGAAACGTTCAGGAGCTAGGTGGGTATTCACACACAAAGGAGAGGTCCAGGTTGGTGATACAACAGTAAGTAGTCATGTGCATATAAATGGTATTAAGTCTGAGAATAAACATGTACACCAGCACAGAAGAAAGGAACGAGGTCTGTGGGCTGACCGTAGGGCATTCTCCCAACATACAGTGATCAGAGATGAGCAGTAACCAAGAGAAGAGACCAAGAAGGAGCAACCAGTAAGGTAAAAGGAGAACCAAAAGAGAAGCCAAGTGAAACAAGGAGGGTGTAAGTGGCTGGGCCAAATGCTACTGAAAAGTTAAGATGAGGACTGAGATCTGACCACTGGACTTGGTAACATGGAGATAAACGAAGAGAGCGGTTTCAATGGAGCAGTGGAGAACAAAAATCAGACAGGAGTGGGTTCAGAGAAAACAGCAGAAGAGAAGTTAGAGACAAAGTATAGATAATTCTTTCCAGTTCTGCTGCAAAGAGGAACAGAAAAATGGGATTATAGCCAGAATGGAATGTTGGCAGTATTTTTTTTTTTAAGAAGAAATAAATAATACCATATTTGTATGTCCATTAGAATGATCTGCAGACAAAAAATTGATAATGCAGAAAAGAGATCGGACAACTGATAAAGTAACATTCTTGATTAAATGAGAGGGGATGGCATCTGGAGAATGTGTAGAAGGGTGGGCCTTGGATAAGTGAATAGACGGTTCATCCACAGTTACAGGAGGGAAGGCAGAGTAACACAGATTAGAGGCAGGCACACTGGTAGCTCTGGTGGAGGAAGCATATGGAAGTATTCTTCTGAGAAGTATCTGGACTGAAGAAATCAAGACAAGATACAAAGCAAAAACAGACTAAAGATTAGGAGGTAGGGAACCTACATGGAATTTCTGTCTTGATTCTAAGAGCAAAAGGAAGACCTTCAACTGTGGTCTAAAAGAAAACGAAAGGCACAAGTTGGAAAATAAAAAAATTGGAGGGCAAGAGTGGTGAGACTATACCAGCTTGGACTATTACATAAGTCTAAACAAGTAATAACTATAACTTAGACAAGGGTGATGGAATGCAGGAATAGTAAAAGTAGAGGTAAAAATGATATGCCCTGATGATGAACTAGACACATATATCAAAAATCACACTAGATGTCTACCTTGTCTTATACGCTAAATAGTAATGCTATTCACCATGGTAAACAATACTGAAAGACTCTTTTCTACAAATGGTACTGGGACAACTGGACAGCCACACAAAAAAGAATAAAGCTGGACCCCCTCCCTCACACCATATACAAAAATAAACTCAAAATGGATCGAAGATCTAAATATAAGAGCTTAAACTACAAACTTAAAAGAAAACATAGCTTAAATCTTCTTCATCATGGTTTCCTAGGACATGACATCAAAAGTACAAGAAACAAAAGGAAAAAAGGTTGATCAACAAAATTAAAAACTTTTGTGCTCTAAACAACACGATAAAGAAAGTAAAAAAGACAACCCACAGAATGGGAAAGAATATTTGCAAGTCATTTATCTGATAAGGGGCTTGTATCTACCATATATAAATTCTTACAATTCAACAATGAAGGACAGATAACCCAATTAAAAAACGAGTAAACGATCTGAATACACATTTCTACAAAGATATACAAATGACCAATAAACACGAGAAGATCCTCAACATCATTAGTCATGAGGAAAATATACACCAAAACCACAATGAGATACTACTTCATACCCACTAATGGCTAAAACTAACAAGACAGATAACGAGCATTAGAGAGAATGCAGAGAAATCAGAACTCTC